TTGGAGACCTACATGATGTTTATGACCTGGATGTTTTATAGCCTTGTTGTGAGGGGGGCAGAACTTTTTCTTGCAAATGATGCTAAGGCACTTCTAGACGAACATGCCGCGGGTCTATTAGCATCTATAAGCTCTAGCATCCAACTTCAATCGTAATTGACCATAGTTAACTGTCTAGTTGATCTAAGACATCTATAGCCTAACATTTGGGACCCAAACTAGACACTAACATGACAACAATGTCCATACGACTTATAGACGGAATAGACTCAAATCCAGGTGAACATTGATTGTGGGCCCATGCTATGGATGTATAGGCAGTCAAGGCGCTGGATGCAAATTTGACATAACTAGTCCATCAACCCGTGCTGTTGTACGGGACAAAATTTTAGAATGCATAAGCATTAGTTTTTGTTTAATAACCTCTAACTAATAAAAATACTAAAATTAATAAATTTCTTGTTTTTTACTTTGTTAATTTTCTAACACAATAGATACTATGATGTCTCCATTTTTGACAAATGTATCAATTACTAAACATTAGCTTAAACTATGGTTTCTCTTGTTGTAGCCCTATCGATCTAAAATAAATTACTTTGCACGTTTTTCGCTTTGATCGTTTTTCAACACAATAGACATAATAGCTACAATGTTGTATCTATATAGTTATGATGGATGTATCAATCACCAATCTATACGTTTTTCCATCCATATACATAGTTTTTTTTCTTTGCATGGCACCTCTGTGTAATTTGAATATGCATTTAGTTGAAACATTAGCTTAAAAAGGAAAAGCTTAAACTATGGTGGCTCTTATTGCAGCCCATATCTTTTGATGCCATAAACCTAAAATTTTGATTTTAAAATTAATCTTATTAATTACTATAGTTTTTTTAATCTCAAGCTAACTTAAAATTCTTATTGTATCTTTATTAACTCTCCCTTTGTACTTTTAAAATAAATAGTTTAGGTCATAAATTGCACTCTTAAGTATGACAATGACATAAATAGTCATTTAAAACGTGCACCACATCACCGATGGTAGAGATTGAAGTGAGATCTAGAGGGATGCTAACCTAGAGAGAATATTAATATTTAATGCATGTAATGATTATATAACTAAAGTAATCCCAAAGGTCAAGAAGATGTAGGCACATATGGTCTGTACTGCCCTCGTTTCTCAAGATGATTTTAAATTTATTTATCAAGAAACTATATGTGCAATGATGGTTATACTACCAATATAGATATCACTTTAATTAAAATATACACCTTCCATTCCAAGTTATAAGTTGTTTAGACTTTTCTAGTTAAGCTTTTATATACATATAGATATACAATATGTCTAGATACATAGCTTTACTATGTATCTAGAAAAGTAAGAACAACTCAAAAGGAGTCACATATCTAAAGTAAAAATTTATACAAATTATGTCATTGTTAGTATCATTAGTATATGAGTTGCTAAGAAATTATTTTTTTTGTTGCTAAAATAGAACATATATATTTATCGCTCAAGCATGCATGTCTACTTGCTATGTATGATGGCATAATATGTATATTTACTTCAATAGAACTCTAATATAATAAAACTAATAGAATTTGGTAACATAGAAACATATACTTGTTTTAGGGTAACTTAAGTATTTATTGTAACAGAAGATGATACCTTAGATGTAGATTTGAGGGGATCTTTTATTCTTTGACAAATATAGTAATTTAGTTGTAGATTTAAGTGGTTATGATAGATTATCTATCATAATAGCAGGTGGGTATTTAAAATTATATTTAGGTTCACTTTAAATCATGTTTTTTGTAGTGGATAATTTAAATATATATTTATGGGGTTCTTTAACTATTTTACACAATCACAAAGGTTAGTCATTATTCAAAAATAGGATAGATCCTAATGTCTATTATTATGAAAGGTACTAGTGTCTACCAGTCTGATTGCCTTACTTTTTTTGTGAGAAGGATTTTACGATATTTATTCAGTTGAATCCTAAATTAATTTATATAAGCTTTTGTTGCATCACTTTATATAACATCATAAACCAATATTTTAGATTCCGACATTAAATCTAGTTGTTGCATTTTTTAAACACATGTTAAGTTAAACTACTAAAGCTTATTGTATATTTTGTTTAAAATTTTCTTTTAATTTATTTTAGAAAAAATGTTAGGTCCTAGGCCATATTCTTAGATATTACAATGGTCTATACAGTCATTTTAGCTTGCATTGCAGCACTCAAGATGCTGGATTTGTTATATCAAAGTTTTATATTTAAAGTAATATTTTATATATATAGAGAGAGCCTAAAATTAAATTATGAATATTGGTTCTACATAATGTTGAAGTCAAGATGTATAAACTTATTTAATACAATAATCTATGAATTTTATTGTCAAGCCGTATTAATATATTTAAAATAATTTTTCAGTATAATTGCTATGTGGTTTTGTTAAAGGACTATTTTGTACGTTTGATAAGCTACTAAAATAGATATTTATCCTGAATGTATGTATGTTTACTTGCTCCACATGACAGAACATATCGAGCTCTTAAGTGTCTAATTTAGAAATATATGTAACATACTTTTATGGATATTGGACAATTTCTAATATATTGTATTGGTATTTGCATATTGATATGAGAGATATTTTTATTTATTTTTTCTATAAAGGCTGAGGTTGATAACTTTGATATAAACTAATAGGTATAAATTGTATTATATTTTATAATGACATATATGGGTATTTTGAATTCAAATGGGTTAGTTTGTACCTTTTTCATAATGACAAATATGGGTAATTTATAAAATGTATTAGAAGGCTATTTTGAATTGTCTCTCGTAATGGCTAAGGTCTAGTATAGTTATAAATTTGGGGAGTTGTTTTGAGTTATCTTTAGTTGATGAACAATGAGAACAACCGAACAAACGCCAAACAGATGGATTCCTGGTCGTTGACGAAATCGTCTTGTTTTTTAGACCGTAAGACCTTTTTATGGTAATAAACGATTTCAAATAGTACAACGAACGTAATCTGAGGAAGACTTAATAGACAATATGTACAAAAGTTGTCTTTTGAGTTGACACATAGTAACTCCTAATTTTTTTAATTTGCGCATAAACAAAAAGTAAATTGTGGGCTGTATGACAACAACTCATACATTAGTCCTCAATTTTAGTTTATATAAAATAGTTGTTTCACGAAATAACAACCTTTATCTCACCTTCAGCTTTTTCCTCCTTATCATAAAAAATATTACATAGTGATGATAAAACTTGCAGCAATGTATTTGTTATTGTTTATATGGGCACACGTGTATATATTATTTGTTGAGGTTGATAGATTTTATCTCATGTTTTATTATTAATTAAATAGACTAACCTTCTATTTGATTTTTTATTTTTTTTATTAATAGATCGTCTAACGCAGATGTGATGAGTATTGTTGACCTAATATTTTATTAATATCTACCGATCAAATATTAGTTTTTCAATCAACTGGGAACGTGAGTACGGGATATGTTTTCCTTTATGTTTTTTCTTGAATTTTTTCGTAAGTTAAAGTTGTGTAAATTATTATTTGCATGGGCACGCGTGTATATCTTCTTTGTGGAGGTTGATTGATTCTATCTCATGTTTTATGAATTAATAGATTATTATCCTTCTATTTGATTTTTATTTTTTATTAATAGATTATCTACGTAGATGTGATGGCATTGTTCACCTGATATTTTATTAATATCTACTGATCAAATATTAGTTTTTTCATCAAACGTGAACGTGTGTACAACAGATTTGTTCCCGTGCATTTTTTCTTGAATTGTTTTCTTAAGTTAAAGTTGTGTAAATGTGAGTATAATAGATTTCTTCCGTACGTTTTTTTCCTTGAAACATCGAAGTTGTTTTTTCAGATATTTCCCGTACGTTTTTTTGTCGATGAAGACGTCAAACTTGTTTTTTGTACCGTAAATTGATTTTCGGCTGTTTGTTATCTATATAATTTTGCGGAGGTGGACATAATAACTTTTAATAACCAAAAATAGATCTAATGGTTAAAAACAGTTGGTGTCTTTTAATTAATAGCTTGATGTTTTTGATTAACGTAAGAATTTCTAGCATTTATCTTTTTTTCCTAGCGCTTCTGGTGAGAATTAACGTGGAATCTCTGTTGGGGCCTCCAATTAGTAATAATAAGATTTGAAAGTTGAAGAAAAATCTCATTTGAACCAAAAAAATAGAACTACCAAAAATATAAATAATTAGTGATATTTGCGGGTTCTTCTCGACCATGACGTTTTTCATAAGAGGAAGGATATTCGCAAGTTCTCAGTGAATATCAGCTGAAATTTTGCACCCTCACTACCCTCCCTCTCCCCTTGCTCTGATGCTCTTGGATTCTGATCTTGAATCGACCCTAGGCCAGTGGCAGCAGGCAAATCTTTTTTTTAGAAATCTAGTATTAGACTGTTAATTTCTTGTTGGCCAGCAAACAAGTAGTAGCTCTGTTGGTGGTCACCCTGTCGTGGGAAGCCCGTCGGGAGTTCTACTCTCCACCTCCGCATGTTGTAAAAAAAATCCATTCGTCTGTCCCACGCCAAAACACAGGTATAAGATCCCACCCAATCTCACGTAGGCAATGGTGCCGTTGTGTATGGTTTGGAATAAGGGTTCAGGAATTTTCTCGATCTGCGTAAAAAAGTCACCTTTTATCTTAAGCAGAATGCTCAGGTTGTCTACCCATGTGGATCGAGGTTTTTTTATTTTCTTGTTGGATTCAAGGAAATTCAACCGCCAACCTGTTTTCTGTACCTGTGTGTCTTTCTCTTCAATTCTCACATTGAATGAGAAGTCGCTGGATGTGAATTGTCATGGGCCCTGTGAGCAAATCATAAGGGATCCGGTACGTGTCAAATTCTTGGTTGAACAACAATCACACAAATACAAGTCCTCAGTTCACTGTCTAATTTAGGCAAAAAAAAAAAACTATGATCACTTGCCGGCGAAGAGCTCGTCCATGTCCTCCAAGCTCCGCCCACTAGTCTCCGGCAGCTGCAAGTACACGAACACGAACGCAGCTGCTGCCACACCAGCATACAGGAAGAAGCACCCGGGCATGGTGATCCAGTCGGCGAGCGAGATGAACGTCATGGTCACCAACGCACACGTCAGCCGGTTCACCGCCGTACCAAGGCTGGTGCCTTGCGCGCGCAGCCGCAGCGGGATGATCTCCGAGCTGTACGCGGGAGCCAGCGGCCCAAACCCAACCGAGAACGCGGCCACGAAGGCCAGCACCGACGCGACGCATGCCGCCGTGCTTACCATGGACGTGGCGCCGACGCAGAGTGTGAGGCCCAAACAGGTCAGTGTCACTGCGATGCCTGCGGCGCTGGCGAGGAGAAGTGGGCGCCGGCCGACGTGGTCGGATAAGAACGTCGCCACGAGGATGAAGCATGTCTTCACCACTCCCACGGCGATGGTGGCGCCGAGGATAGCGCTGTTGCTGCCAGCGGCGATGGTTTTCGTCGGCCGCAGCAGCATCTCCTTCCACACGGCGCCCCCGCTGCTGCTGCCAGCTGCCTGCGGCGCCTCGACAGCTGGCTTGATCTCCTGGAGTCGGAGATCGGCCTCCGCTGGGGTGTCCGAGGTGCAGACGAGCACGGTGCGCGCCTCCTCGTAGCGCCCGCGCATCAACAGCCACCGCGGCGACTCCGGCATGGCCAGCACCCCCGCGGCGAGGAACACCGGAGGGAGCGCGCCGATTGCGAACATGATGCGTCAGCCGACGTGCACCGGCAGGCCGGCGAACGCATAGTTCGACACGTAGCTAAGCAAGATGCCGACATTGATAAACATCTGCACGATCAAGCATCCGTACGTACATCAATCAAGCTTTGTAAAAAGGTAAAAAAACGATGCCGCATGCCGGCATATGTGTACGAACGTCTAGCAAGGACGACAGGACGCCGCGCGTGGACGCCGGCGAGATCTCGGCGTTGTACACCGGCGCGACGACGCGGGCGAACCCAACCCCGACGCTGGTGACGAAGCGCGCGGCTACGAGCGCGGCGTAGCTGCTGCCGGCCGACATGGCGAGCGCTCCGGCCATGAGGAAGGCATTGGCAAGCACGAGCGTGCCCCGGCGGCCCAGGAGGTCGGCCGCCCATCCAGGGCCGAGGATGGACACGAGCATGAACAGGTTCATGGACCCCGTCAGCACCTCGATCTGCACGTCGGAGAGGCCCGGGTCCTCCCGGATGAACAGCTGCGCGCCGCTCATCAGCGCGAGATCTGCAGGCACCAAGCAGGATGGTCCGGTTAATTGTGAATGTCATTGTCTTGAAAGCAGGTAGCTGATCAGTACTGAGATTTTTTTTTTCACGTACTGTAACCCATGAGGATGGTGGTCATGGAGGCGAGCGTGGCGCAGACGAAGGCAAACCTGTTCCGGCGTGGCGCGTCGGCAATGAGGGTAGCTGAGGGGAGCAGCGGCGCCGCTGTCTCGTCCGCCATGACTCTTTGCGCGCCGTCAGTGTTGGGCGTGGGATGCAAATAAATGCAACTTTGTATAACTCGTAGTTGCCACCAAGATGTCTCTCTCTCTCTCTCTCTCTCTCTCTCTTCTCTCTCTCTCTCTATATATATATATATATATATATATATATATATATATATATTTGAGTTACGATAATTACTATGTTATTTTACGAGATTATAGTAACTCCTTATTAAGTGGTTTACTATAACGTTATGGTAAATATCCATATATGTTATAGGAACCTAACTATCGTAAATACGTATTGATATTATCGTAAATTAGTATATAAAATTATCGTAAATGGAGGTGGCTACAGAATAACTTATTTGGTAGCTGACTACTGAATATACTCTCTCTCTCTCTCTATATATATATATATACACGTACTATTATGTAGCTGGTCGCAGAATAAGTTATTCTGTGACCACTTTAAGTTACGATAATTACTATACTAATTTATAAGATTATGGTAACTCCCTCATAAGTGATTTACTATAGCATTATGGTAAGTATCATCTTGAATTATAGTAACCCATGTATCATAAATGTGTATTGTCATTATCGTAAATTGGTACAAACATTATCGTAAATCAAGGTGGTCATAGAATAAGTTATTCTGTGACCAGCTGCATAATATATATATATATATATATATATATATATATATATATATATATATATATACACACACACACACACGCACGTACTATTCTGTAGCTGTTCGCAGAATAAGTTATTCTGTGGCCACTTTGAGTTACGATAATTACTATACTAATTTACGAGATTATGATAACTCCCTCACAAGTGATTTACTATAGCATTATGTTAAGTATCATCTTGAATTATAGTAACCCATGTATCATAAATGTGTATTGTCATTATCGTAAATTGGTACAAACATTATCGTAAATCAAGGTGGCCATAGAATAAGTTATTCTGTGGCCAGCTGCAGAATAGCCTTACCATATATATATATATATATGTATGTGTGTGTATGTATGTATGTATTCTAGTGTATGCGTGAACTAGCAAGCTGTGTGGGATACATATGACAATTGCAAAACCGTCGAAGAACTGAATTGTAAGACTTCACCCACTACCCACTCTTCTTTTATCTGTCCTGACTATTTGGATGGGTATCCAACTGTAAAAGTCGTCTTCCATCACCCAATCCTCTTCATCTGTCATGACCATTTTAAATTTGTTCCTTCGCCCTTGTGGTTTTGTGTCACTAGCCATTGACCTGAACTCCTGCATAAGCTATCAATGTTAGCAGACATCTGTATTTTAAAAGAGATATAAACATTATTACTTGGTTAATTAGTTTACTCCTTCGTTCATGAGTTAGTTGGCTCATTCGTTAGTTGCGTGGCTCGTAGCGACGCACTGGTTGTCCCCTCGTTCATTCATAAGTTGGTTGACTCATTATTTCATATGTTCGCTCTTTGTTATTACACCTCGTTCATATATAGCAACACACAATGTTAACCTACTTGGTGGGCAACATAATCCAAAACGAAAGAATGATTTGTATATCAAAACAAGATGGCTGGTAAGTCTCCATATACTAAGTACCTTTGTATTTTTTTTTATGCATTACATTCCTGCCAAAGTACTTTGTATTTTCATATACAAAACATGATGGACAAGAAATCAAAGACTAGGGATTAAGCCAATGCTTGGATTGAAGAATCATATGAAGCTCAACCTCTCTCCCTCTCCCTCTCACATGTGTTAGCTCAAGAATCTCTCTCTAGGTAATTTTCATGACCAAATCCTCTCTCTAGTTGTGTTCTCTCTTTTGATGAAGGAAATGAAGATCATGACCCTCCCCTACATTTCAAAGTGTAAGCCTCGAATCTCTCACTTCCCTTTATGTCTAGAAGCTCAACTCAATCTCTAATCCACATGCATGTTTGATGCAACGAGGTCTCTCTCCAATCTTATCACCCTCAAGCAAAGAGCTCCCCTCACTTGGATGCAAGAACATCAAGAAGACGAGCTTGAGCTTGGTGACCTCAAGTCACCAATTCATCAAGAGTAAGTTCATCAATCTCCTCTCACTCCCTAGATTATACCTTTCTCAATCATGGTTTAGAAATTCCAAGCCTAGCATTAGCCTCTCTAAATGTTGATCAAACCCTAAGCTACACAACCCTAGCATGTCAGGTAGACTAACCCCCATATGTTCCCTAACACCCATAGAGGCACTCTACACAACCTCTAAACCAAATCCCTCAAGAACACCTTTCCACATTGGTTTTGTCAACGTTCTGACGGACCATCCGACAAACACCACTAGACCGTCCAACAAAACCGTATCATTCTAACAGCCGTGGACCGTTACACTTAGGCACAATTTCCCACCAAGATCTCACACATCGTCCGATGACTCCCACCTGTCCGCCCGTAGATTCACACAAAGACCTTGTAACTGGACCACCCCCATCAAACCATTTCCTAATAACATGGGACCATTCGTGGAACCCATGGACCGTCCGACCGATCCATTCGATAGAACATCCAGAGCACCAGCAGAAACCACCGAACCGTCTGACTGTGCACTGAATATTTTTTGTTTTGTGACCCCTTAACCTAGGCCCTTATCCATCCTAATCTAGACCCACCTCTACATCATGGCAACACTAGTTGACCATCAAATCCCCTAGCATATTTCTCCCTCTAGCTCGCGAGGTTTAACCCTCTAAATCCTTCCAAGGTCATGAATTATTTTGAGTTTCCCTCAACTCTATCTATACCACTTCAATAGCAGGATTAGTTATATATGAACTTATAAACACGTTGAATATTTCTGTCCGGGACCAATACCAGGGTACCCGAAGAGGAGCTAATAACCATCAACATTGATTCGTTCGAGCAATCAAGAGCTCGACTACAGCTCTAACCGACCCCTAGGTGCACAAACTCCACCTCGTTCGACCCCTGAGGGTTGGCTCCACCTTGCCTAACCCTTGAGGGTTGGCTTCGCCTCGCCCGACACCGAGGCCGCGGGCTCCACCATGCCCGACCCCTGAGGGTTGGCTCTGCCTTGCCCAACACCGAGGCCACGGGCTCTACCACACCTGACACCTAAGGGTGGCTCTGCCTCGCCGAACACCGAGGCCACGGGCTCCGCCTCGCCCGACCCCTGAGGGTGGCTCTACCTCGCCCAACGCCAAGGCCGCGGGCTCCGCCTCGCCCAACCTCTGAGGGTTGGCTCCGTCTCGCCCGACCTCTGGGGGAGGACTCTGTCTCGCCCAAAACCAAAGCCGCGGGCTCGGGTTCGCTCGACCTCTAAGTGCTGGCTCTGCCTCACCTAACCCTTGGGTTTGGGCTCCACCTCGCCCGAGCCTTGGGTTTGCGCTCCGCCTTGCCCGGCCTCTGGGGAGGAACTCCGCCTCGCCTGACCCTAAGGCCAGGGGCTCCGTCTCGCCCGATGGAGACCCATACTGCCGCCAACAACTCCAAGTCCAAGCGTATGGGCCTGGGTCAAAGCTCTGATGCCAGGGAAGATACTGGCATGCCTCGATGTAGCCCATGATCCACGACGGGCCATACCAGGGGGTTCACATCAGGAACAGCGTCAGGCGTACCGATGTTGTTCTGCCTAAACCCCGTACGAACACTGACAGACATGTCAGTTCACCACGACGTCCACCAGGACGGAGTGGAGCGCCATGACTGGCAGACGACGCCTGCACTTGGCACTAGTGATGGACAAGGCCACGATGAGAAGCTGTCCCTGTTGACGTCTATAGGGTCGGCGGGACCCGCATAAAGGAGAAGAAGGACCCGGCGATCCTGAAGGACTTCTTCCTCTCGTTCTCTTCTCTTCCTCCATTGTAACCCATTCTTTCCCTTGGCCTATAAAAGGGAAAGTAGGGCATCCCACAAGGGGCATCGGAACTCATCACAACACACCACAGGAGACTCGAATCCGATCAACTCATTAAACCCCGAACATACAACCGAGCAGCGACCGAGCTCTCGGTATCCGTTCACCCTTTCCATCAGAGACTTGGGACCTGTCCCTCTCTCGTCCGTTTGTAACCCCTACTATGAACTTTCAGTGCTAGTAACACGAGCGGCAGCAACGAACTGGACGTAGGGACATTTTGCCCAAACCAGTATAAACCTCGTGTCCTCTTAGCACACCATCCGAGCTAGAAGCGTAATATTAGAAATTTACTAGCCGGTGGCAACTCGAAACACCGACAGTTGGCGCGCCAGGTTGGGGCCTTTTGCGTGTCTCGACATCCACAACAGGCCTCGGATGGCTAGTCACAACCTCAGTTGGGTCCTAGGCACGCACGTGTGCTTCGGGGACCTGGACTTCATCGTCACGACGGAGGGAGAGCTGGCGCTGGCTCCTGTCGCCACCCAACCTCTCCACTCCCTCGGCCTCGATGCGATCGCCGAGGTGCTTGAGGAGCTACAGCTGCACGCACCGGGGGCCCGTGCCCCCATGAGCGACTGGCTCCTCGTCTTCGACTACGAGAGGTTAGAGCGCTAGCTCGGTGCCTTCCTAGGACCCCGATCGTCCTGGGAGGACCTGCACTGCCTCACCTTCTCGTTCACCAACATCATGGCGCAGCTTGCCGGAAGGGAGCCGCTCTCTCTAGAATACCTCATCCAGAGCGCCTCGACAACGCTCCCGTTCGGTCTCCGCATCGCTGCAGAGACCGATGGCCACACTGTGGCACAACGCATGCCTCCATCCGCCGCGAACGACAAGATCGTGGGGATGACCGAATATGTCACGGAGTCTTTCCACGACCTCCTTGCGGGAGAATCGGAGTCGCCCTCTGGCTCTGACTCCAGCAGGGGGAGTCATCACCCCTCTTGTGAGTGTTTCATGGTAGGTACCCTCGAGGGACACGTCGAAAGCATCCATGGAGAGGAGGCTACCCCAACAAATGACCTCAATGACGAGGTCGAGGGGGAGACAAGGGCCCCACCCCACCTACGGGTGGAG